AGTTGCTACCCCCCACCCAGTCTCCCCTCCTCACCACCCCCCTTTTTTTTTTTTTGTTACAGCTTACCTCTAACCACCCTTCCCATGTGGCATGTGTCGTGTCTTTTATCTTTGCATCTGAACTTTGTCCCGTGTGTTGTGTTTGAACAGTAAAAGGATCTGTGCTTCCTTACAGCTGTCGATATCCTGTACCTAACATCTACATCCCGGATCTAATGCCTGACCACTTATTTTAACTAACAGCGTGGCCTTTATTTGCCCGGATGGCACATGCAATTATTTGTATCTGTATAGGCAAAACCAGGTGGAGTGGCATTCAGGGATTCACGTGTCCCAGCTTCACTGTCTACAGAAGCTTACTGAGGCAGATATTAGTCAGACATCATCCTCTTTTTGCTGGTTTGACACCAGAATTCGACCTGGCTACTCAGTGCCATTGGTCTGGGTCTGTGCAAAGCTACAACCACCTAATTAAAACAAAAACCTAAGACTTCCTCTTTAGCTAATGGTATTGCTGCCTTGCCATGAGCTATAAAAACGACATGGGCTTTCATGTCTGGAAACACACTCTTCAGTGTTCGAGACACATCAGCCCAAACTTGGAGCATTTCAGGCAGCAAATGAGCAATTTTAGGCAAAGTCCGTTTTCTGAGATGTCAGTCCGGCTTCCTTCGTCAACACACAGTTTGCAGAGGAAACAGTATTCCGACTTGATAGCACGATGACTAGTAATCAGAAATACCTAGGCTGAGTCACGGTGCAGAAACACAGTGAAGCCCAGCTTAAAATCCAGTTCTCATGTTATTTGGTGTCCTGGAGCTTGGGTAGTTCAAAAGCAGGCTGTTGAATGGGTGTTCGTTAGAGACCGGATGATTACTTGGCTGTGTGAACTGGGGTTTTGGGGTGAGGAAGGCAGAAGGAGAGGAATTTGCATTTCCCAAGACTTAGGATGTCTGAACCACATATTAATTTCGTAGTTAGCCTGGAGTATTTAAATACCATACATTTGCCCATATATTTTTGTTGTGTAATAAGAAGTGCCATTTCCTCCTCATCCAACCTCCGGAGCCATGCGCGTTATGAGCTGGTGGCCGCTGTTGGTTACGGATTAAGTGGATATGGATGGTTCTCCTAGCAGGTTCTTGCCTCTGAAGCCAAGGATCAAAGCATTCTCTCTCACAGTTAGGTGGCCAACACCACCATTTCTGTCTTGAAAATTTGCTTAATGTTAATAACAGGTCTATCTTGTATCTGAAGAGGTTGCAGCTTGCAGTAGAAAGAAGGAAGTTGGCTTTCATGCGTGTTCTAAAACTGGTAGTTAGCAAGATGTGTTGAAGGCAAGTTGCAAGTGGGTCTAAAAGCCAGCTTGGCCTGTTGTGAAGGTTTTAACGTCACCTGATGATGATATCCTGGATGAAATGCTAATAGCTTTGGAAACAAATTTAAGTGACCTTCTGCTTTGCTTTGGGAGTAATACCATACATGCAAATCAAGCAGTTTTCTGAAGCTATGTAATTATACACTGACAAATGTTCCACTCAAATCAGCTTCCACGTTTCATAGTTCCTTCATGTGCCCAGCCCCATGGTGGTGTGCCTCAGAGGATTATTCATAACTGGTTCTACAACTACAGAAAAAATAGTATTTAAAAGCAAATCAATATTTGCTATCTCCAATTTGCTGATGAACGTAGAGGCTGTTAGGGGATTGGCTTCCTGTAGGTATTGCAACAGTAGTGACTTCTGAGGAGATGTGAAGGAGGAAGAAGTGGCATCAGCAGTAAGTGCCTGAGGGATTTCTAGGTGGGTGGGGAAGGAAATAGTCCCGCAAAGGGAAGCAGCCAAACCCTCTCGTCCATTAACATCTTAACCTTGAATCTGCCCAAGTAGTTTTTGACCTAGCTTAGTTTTACTCTGTCACAAATTAGCTGCCTTCACCATAAGATTTGACAAACGAGAATATATATATTTTTGAATATCTGCAAACTGACTAGGATGCAGATACTGTGGCTGAGCCAAATTCTGCCACGTTCTGTTGTCCTGTAGGACACGGTTGTGGGTCAGAGAACTCTTTATATTTTTGCTCTTATGTCAAGATCTGAGCTGAACCAAAATGGCAATTCCTAACTTTTTACTACCTTCCAACATTACATCTTTGAATCCAACCCTCACAGCAGGCGTCCTTCTTTTCCAGCATAGGAGCTGTGTGCAGCCATATGGTGTGTGTAATTATTAGTTTATAATGGTGTTATTGCTCTCTAGCTGCCCAATAAACCCAGTGCAGTTTCAGTAAACTATATTCATAAGCATAGGAGCTTTAGACTTGAATGATTTTCTTCACTTTTACCCAATAGTAGGTGCGAAGGAGAAAAAAAGATTCCATTTAATTTATAGAAACTGAATAAAGTTTATAGAGTCTCTACAATTGTCTCAAATGAAAAAGTTGTGGAGAAGAGGGGCTCTGCCGAAACTGGGAGGTCCACAAAGCTGGAGAAGAATAACAGTTAAAGGCACACATCAGTAAATACCTGTGCTGAACTTTTCCCATTAACTCCACCGTCGAGCATATGGACTGCATTAGGGTTTTGTCTGCCTTAGGGATTTTATAAACACATTTCCCCCTCCCGTCCTCTTCCCCATCCAGTTGTTATTGCTTTAGACTATTACCGAATCAAATAGTGCCCATTCTGGGGATCATCATTCTTACTGGAAAGAGGCTGTTTGCTGTAGAAACGTTCACTCATTAGCGTCAGAAACCTGTGTATATATGCAAGTGCTTGCCTGAATGTCCATTTATTCTTTTTTTTTTTTTTTTTTTGTTGGTGTGAACTTCCTGAAGCAGTAACACCAGCTTGGCTCACCCCTTCTTTGAGGCATGTGTGCCACTCTAATTTGCATAGATGGCAGAATTTCTGCAGCAAAATTAGGAGCCGGTGTGTGCTCAGTTTTATGGATGATCTGTAAAAAAAAAAAAAAAAAAAAAAAAACAGTTCTTTTGCATCTTTCCTTACGCTGAAAATGAAGGTCGCCGAAGTGACTGGTGAAAAATAGGACCCGAAACCAAGACTGATGACGTAAGAAAATATTAATTTTGCTTCCGCGTTCCTTTCTGTGGTTCTTCGTTAATTTTGGTCGACACTGGAAGTCGACACATCCAGCCCCTTTGACAAGGTCTCCCGTCCTCCCCGAAACCTGGCACTGCCCATCTGAGCACTCCCGAGCGTTTCAGAGAAGGTGGCCCTGTTGCTTGCCACGAGCTCCTGCACCCATTCTGCCTTCCCCTGCATGCCCCCACGCCCATTTGAACAAAAAGACCTGAGTCTGGGGGCGGCTCTGGCTTCACGTTAACCCGCCCTGAAAAATGACAGTTCACGGATTGATGGTGGATGTTGCTCCCTCGGTGACACGTAGCACTTCTGCTGCCCAGCCGTGGTTGGGAGCACACAGAAAGCCCCTTCGGGGGGTCGAGGTGCTGAAGAAAGGGAAGCCCCCCCCCCCCCCGAGAAAATAGGTGACGTTGTACTTTGAGATTTGTAGGTGGTAAATGCTGTGGGTTTTTTACAGATATTCTGGAACTCTAATATAATTTACAGTTTCATTTGTAGGGAGCTGTTTCGAATCTGTGCACATTCTTCTAAGATATTTTAAAAGGAAAGCCAACAGCAATAATTAGTTTGGCATTTTCCATGTTTTCTAAAGCACTTAAGGGGTAATGACTTTTTTTAACCAATCTTACACAAAATCAGGTTTTACAGGAATAAGAGGACTTAAAAGGCCTGAATGGCCATCAGTGACAGATGTAATTCATGCTGAAAGCCCTATTCCGATACATCAAAATAAGGAAAACAATTATACATATGATTAGAGGCTGCTGACCCTTCAGTTAAAATGATCAAAAAGAACAATATTAAAATTTGATTTACAGAAGCTACTACTTAGCCTATAATTATTCTGACCAGTAAAAACAAACCAGACTTTTACAGAATGTGATTTCCCAGTAGATAGGTTAGCTATTTTTGTCGGGCTGAAGAAACACAAAATGGTTTTCAAATATATTTGATATGCTCTGTGAGTAAGCTGAAATACAGCATATACCGAGTTTTAATGTTTTTTGTTCATAAACTGCCAGATTTCCTTAATTCAAGTGAAATTTGAGAACCACTTGAGAATAATTGTCTCTAAAATGAAATACTACTTTGTCAGTCTACTTCATTTATATTAAATATATGGTTTAGGGTTTTTTTATATTAGAGGGTAAATGAAAGTTAGTCAGTAATAGGATTCCCCTTACGCTTTTGCTGTAGTTCACTATGGAAATGGATTCAGGAAATGGCAGATGTGATTATAAACTCTTCAGCTGGCCCAAGAGCTGTCTGCACAGCACCTAGCATCCAGCACTTCTGGCAAGGAACGAGCACTCCTCATCTTACTGCAATATAAATACAATGATTCTTCAATGCAGGGACTTGGAATCTTGATTTTAAAAGCACTGGTTAGGAGATTGGGAAGATGAGAGTCGATGAGTCTCTTCCCTTCATAAGGCTGAAGACAAAATTGTCGTGTTAGCTGATGCAGCCCTGTCTCCTCCTGCGTGCAAGTAAGTACATGGGAATCCACACCAGCCCACTGGGCACGCGGGTGTCAAAGCAGTACTCCTATAAACGGACAGAGAAGGGTCAAGTTGCCTGCTCAGAGGCTAACATCACGGGAGAGCTGTGCACAACACACAGATGTTCACCTCTCAAAAGCTATAGTGAAGACTGCAAAACCAAGGGAGATTTTTTTTTCCTACTCCTCTAGAACGCGTGTGCAGGTGTACAGCTCATGTCTGGGCAAAGAAATTGAATAAAACACCACAGCTCAACCTGCTGTCTCCTGATTTGGAATATCTTTGTTTTATTCACAGGGCTCTCGTGAATTCTGACTTTTTTTGTGCATCGTTCTACCAGCTTTCCCTCTTCTGGAAACTTAAGTGCTGTTTTTTGTTTCTGATATTTCTAGTGGAACGGGAAAATGTACAGAAGAGGACCTTTACCAGATGGATAAACCTGCATTTGGGAAAGGTAAGATTGACAAACAGTGCTGACACTGAGATACAAGGACACAACCGTAGACAGATTGAAGGTAGTTCCTTTTAAAGTAGTTAAAATTTGGAAACAAAGTTGACTTCTGTGCATATGGGGACGTTTGGAGGAGAATGAAGGGAAGCTGAAAGCGTATTTCTGGGTAAATAAAAAGTGCTTTTCAGGCTCAACGAAGGCTTGGCTGGCTTTAGTTCATCTCAGGTGCATTTAAGTCTTTAATGCTGCTGACTTATCATGAGGCTAGAATTTTCCCATAGAACATAACCCACAAAATATCAAATGTGGTTGAGGCTGCTCTGAGGTGATGATGACTGTCTTCTTCCCTGGTCTGGAAGTTCAAACATCTGAAGCATCATGGCCAAAGACAGATGTTCTTCAGAACCTGCCTTCATCCCAGATCTGCAGATGGGAAACATTATTTCCTTGTCAGTCATGGTTTGGGGGGGGGGGGGGGGGGGGGGGGGGCGCTGTATGATGGTGTCTTTTCATATCCACTTACATTAGAGAACTAATTTTTGGACATCACTTCATATTTGAAGACGTAATTGTTTCTTAATCACACCATAATATGGCTATTAACCCTAATTTAGCATTCCTGCTGATAACAGATAAGTACTAACTCTCCTGCATAGTCTGCCATCCAGAGAACGATTTTCCTGCTGTTCAGGGTGAAAAGAGAGAAAAAGAATTCCTAATATTGCTAAGACAGCAGCAATGCTTAGTGCAAGATCAAAGAATGAGACCAGCTTGCTGATCCAGACAAAGTCCTAATTTGGACTGGAGTTTTGAGCTTCACAGTGCTTTTAGTGTCTGTGGCTAAATTTCATAAAGCACAGACTGGGACTAAGTTTGGGCTACAAGCTGACTCCCAGTTTAGCCCTGTAGCTCTTGGGAAGTGATTGCAGTTCAGTCAGCAGTAAAGTAAAGGGATTTTAGAAGAAAGGCGTCACATACATAGTTGCTTAAGTCCACTGCTCTGTGGTGAGTGTTGCTGAAGGAATAAAGGGATCCTCTTAAATCTCACTGGAAAATCAGAATAAGGCTAGTTGGAAATGTTTTGACTAGCAATTGATCCCAAAGGTCACTCGGAATGAAGACAAGTGTTATGTGATGCCTTCGTGAATCAGGCCCTAGGGCTTTACACTAACTGCAATTTTGGAAATTGTCAAAAAGGGTTGTCAAGTACGTGGCTGTGGAGAGAGTCTTTGATTTACAGAAGGAATTAGATCACAAAAAAGGCTGTAGGGTGCTGTTAATTCTGCCATGCTAACTATGTGAAGTCTTAGAAACGCAGCGGGCAGGTGAACTGTCTTCTCTGGAGTGCATAGAAATTTTTTTCCTCTCTGATTCAACCAAGAAAAATGCTTTTCTGAAGAAAGGGCAAAAGTCTGCTGCTATATTAATGTTTTTCCTGGAAGTGGCAAATAAACATACCCATGTAAATAATGAGAGCTTCACTAAAGTTCTCTCTAATTACAGGTGATTCCCCAAGGACGCCCACTGAGAAAGGTGGCTTCTGCCTTTGTCTTCAAAAAAGCATTTCTTACATAATGTCTTCTTTTTTTTTTTTTTTTTAAAAAAAAAAAAAAAGCAGCAGAGAATTCTTCTTCTTGTACTTCTTCAGGAAACTTAGGGTGTGGTGTGTCCCCTTTTGGAGCAGACCATCCCATCTGGGTCATCTTCTGAGAGGAGCTGGCTCTGCTGGTCATGGGATAATTGGGAATAGTATGCATCTTCCAAGTTCCGGTTGTTCCTGTCTGAAGTACTGAAAGAATAAAAAAAGATTTGGGTTTGGGGCTTTCAGATGGGTTATTTAATTTTGAAATGGACAATACTTTGCTTTCTTTCAGTGCGGAGCATTGTTTAGTACTCTTGGCTAGATTAAAGACTAGTAACGAAAACGCATGGTCCCAGTTTGCCAGAAGCAGTGTTTAATCGAACAGTAGTGCATTGCCCAACCAAAGATAAAAAGATTGGGCTCTTTAGGGACAGGCGAGTGAGTGACACCTGAACAGAATGTAATTGCTGCAGCTGAGACTACGCCTAAGGGCTTGAGCTGACTTGGCTGTGTGCCTCCACGCCTCATCAGACACCTCGGTGAAGTGGGGAGGTGGCTCCTTTTGGAGGAGTTTGCTGAGGAGAGAGGGGCACGATACAAGGAGTGGCTATTTAAAGTCCTTAGAAAACACTGGGGAAGAGGATGGCACCACCAGGAACCTTACAGAGAAGACAGGACGTGGTGGCCAGCTGGAGCTCAGGCTTGTCTCGGCATACAGTGGGACGTGCATCTGCTGGACTTGCCTTAGGCTGAGGGATCAGCACCCAGCCCTTGGGTGGTCGCTTTCTAGGCAGAGTACTGAGGGTGAGATTCTGTTCTGGGAAATCTGGAATGAGTCCTTGTCTGATCTCGATTACATGAGTACGGTGTCTCGGGTTTAGCTCTGACATTCCTAGGACAGAATTGCCGCTGACGTGAAGAATAACCAGCCCTTTCTTCCTGCAGGCTAAGATTCACTTCTAGTACCTCTGTCTTGTCAAAGTCTCCTTCTTACTCTCCTAAATCATGGTGACTTCCCAAGCAGTGCTGCTTCAAAAGCCACCTAATTTATTTCCTTCACAGTGCAAGCCTCCGCTGAAAGTGAAAGACTTGTTTATTGATATACAAGATGGCAAAATCTTGATGGCGCTGCTGGAAGTCCTGTCAGGGCAAAAGCTGGTATGTATGCACGGGGGAGAAACCTCCGTAGGTGTTGAGCTCTGGGGGTTGGGGGCAACAACGTACGGACATCCAAGGAATAAGGGTGAACTGGGTCCCGTGTCTTGGGTACGGCAATAAGAATTTTCAGCAACTTCGTTGTGATTTCCTGATGTTACAGGCTGGTGTCCTGCGCTGTAACTCAGATGTCGAGGGAAATATGTAACAATGAGGTGTGTGATCAGTATAAATGTTCCTACCCCTTAGGTTTTTTAAGGCTTTAATACGTTAATGCTCACATAATCCATCTGGAGATCACCCAAGTCACGTTACCAAGAAAAGATATATTTGCTCTATTATTTCTTTAATCCAGAATTTCTATTTTGTCTAAGATCATTACGACACTTAATAGGTCTGCTGATGCTTGCTGTAATTGTGAGCTTAGTTCTGGTGTCCTGGCTTGGGTTTCATTAGACTCGCTGATACGGTCTCTAAATCAGAAGGGTAAAGTTTCACCTACCGGAATCTTTTCCTCTCCTCCTTTCTTTGTGAGGGCTGTATAAAGCTCCGCATACTAGAAATGGAAACACCCAGCGCAGATCCCAATGACCGATGGCAGGTGATTGTAACGATCCCCTGTTGTTACATCAGGCTTGTCAGCAAGCACTCTCCTCTGCGCGGGCATCGCGCTGGGGTAAGGGGAGAGCCGTGTTCCGCGGGCGTCCCACCGCTGCAGATGCGCTGGCCGTCCCCCGGTGATGCTCTGCAGCGGCTGGACCAGCGCACGCTGCCGCACGAGTGGTCACGCATTCAGAACCGCCTGTTTTCTGATATTCTCACGTTTTTTTGGTTTTTTGTTTTTTTTTTTTTGGGGTGGGGAAGGCGGGGCTGTAGCAGAAGCAGCAGTGTCTCTGCGTGCGTTCGCACAAGGTTTCATTGAGAGCCGGGCTGGAAAGGAATTGAAGGGGGAGCCGGGTGGCGGTAGGGCCCGGGCTGTGCCCCGGGAGGTCAGGGAGGAGGGCGAGGAGGGGGGTGAGGTGGGCTGGCCAGACGTGTCGCGCTGGCAGCGAGGTGTCCCTGCACAAAACCAGGGCGCCCACGTGGAGTTGCGGGGGGACAGGCGTGCAGCGGAGCTGGTTTGGTTTTGCCAAAGTGAAGGTTTCTGCCTCCTGCCTTCCTGGGCCTGATATGAAAACTGCTCGCCCTTCTTAATTAGGATCATTGAATTGAAATCGACACCCCCCCCCCCCCCCCCCCCCCCCCAAAAAAAAAAAAAAAAAATCTATTATTACAACTTCTCAGGTAAAATTGATCCTGTGACTGAACACGGTTGGGGAGCGATTACGTAAATAATCAACGTGGCAGGTCCAAGACAGTGATAACATCTGGAGAGCAGGAGAGCTGGCTGCTCACCCGGTTTTGCCACAGCAGGGGCACCTCGTGTAGTTGAAGCACTTCGCTGCTCGGAAAAGACTGCAGTAATTTGACATAGGTAGATTTCCTTAGCTTTATTTTGCCTCTGTGTTTGTAGGTCTTTAAGCTTCACGTGACGCGGTGAATCATTACACCATTTTAAAAGACAGCGTGGCTTTTATTTTTTCTAGATGCATGAATACAAATCTTCAACACATCGCATTTTTCGTTTGAACAACATAGCCAAAGCACTTAAGTTCTTGGAGGACAGTAATGTGAGTATTTCCAAAGGCTGGTCTTAATATCTACCCTTGATGTATGTTGCGAATTGTAATTGTTGTAATTGTAACTAGTCTGAGGCACTGCATGTGGGTAAGAGGAATGTTCTGCTTAAAGGCACTGTCACCGTAGCAGCAAGGCTGAAAAGCCACATAAAAATGTACAACGAGAACACTTACAGAGTCTAAAACAAGGATTATTTGTTCATTTTATAATGTAAAAGCTCAACAGGATTAAAGGATCAGGAACCCAATATTAAAAAAAAAAAAAAAAAAAAAGAAACGCAAGTAATTTTTATCAACTGGGTCTTAGTGGCATTACTTCAGTTTTGCTGAAGGTAGATGACTTTCTTTCCTCAAAAATACTTTGAGTATTTCAAATCATGCATTTATCTGATAAACTGCTGCAGCAGCTGATCATGAGTCAAAGGCAAGAGAAAATGAAGTCTGGGAACGTGACATAAATGCATAAATCCAGGAATCAAAACCTCGTAAGGATATAATTTCCCTCACAGTCAGTGTGACGCTATTGCAACAACACTTCCTAAACTTGTGACCAGGCAAGATCGGCTTGAAATGGTCCATTCATTGTTTAATTTATCCTGCTAGGGCTTTATTCCCAAGCCCTGTGGTTGTGGTCAGCGTCTTGAAAACTCTTCTCTCTTGACAGCTGTTGAGAAGTAACGGGGTCAAGAGAAGTGCCAGCCACCTAACAACTCGTATACATGGTATACCTAGGTCTTCCAGAAAGAGAAAACAAATATTGGGCTGTGTCCTGTAAAGGACTGCAGCAGCGTTTAAACTTTCTGGGTGAGGTATCTGGCGTGGGCATAGGAGCAAAACCCCGCCTCGCATGGGGTGTCACACCAGCAACTGATGTCACTTTGCTTCTTCCCTGCAGTGAGCTTAGCCCTCACGCCAGAGATCCTGCAGCAGTGCTGGTCACGCCGGAGAGTCCCTGCAAACACCCCCCCCGGGTGGGAAGGAGCGTGATGGGAGGTCTTAGTGGGTCTTTTACGACCTCAGAGGTGTGGGAGGTTTAACCTCCTTTGCCTTTTTCCCCGGGAGGGGATGTGAAAGGTGAAGAAGTTGTCCACTAACTTCCAGGCGTTCCAGTTTCTTTTTGGAAACTCCACCAGTAGCAGCTGGTCTGGCCCTAAGTGTGTCTGTCTACGTGTCCTGCTATAGAACTGCTAAGAAATATTTCACGTGTTCACGTATTTCTTAACAGTTTCCCAGCTGATGCTTTCTACCCAAATCCAGCTAAGCCCACTGGCAGATGAGATTTTTTTCCCCTCTGTTGATACCAGCACCTTGCGGAGCTGCAGCTGAAGCATATCTGGATGCCAGGACCTCACAGGGGACAACCTAGAGCCTCAATGAGCAAGGCCAGTCAGGAGGAGCCTTGGACACAGGCGGCCTTTTAATTAGTAGTGCTAAAACACCTGCTTTCCTATGTATTTCTTGTTTCCTCAAGAGTAAGCAGCCAGTATCTTCTAGCTGGGTATCCCTACTGGGCTGGGTGACAAACATAAGCAGCAGTAAGAGGACAGGGCTGACACTGAGAGGAGTCTAACAATAAATGTCACCTGCTCCCCATTTTGGAGAAACTGCTGTTGAAATGTGCTAGGTCTTCAGGGTCTTCCCACGCCACGTACCTTGGAGCTAGCAAGAAATCTGAAGCTTGAAGTAATGACAGCTAGAGGTGCCTTCTTGCTAAGACTGAAAATTGTTGTGTGAACCACTAGATAAAAACTTATTTGGCTTTCCTCTTTTCAGTTTTACCAAACCGGTTAGTGAAGGGTGGTGATGAAAGTGTTGGCAAAACGCCTTGGCCGCCAAGAGCTTCAGGGTTAGATATTAAACCGCAGTGGGTGGAATCCATCAGCAGACACTTCTGTGGAACTGGGGCAGCAGGGGCAAGCACTGCTAAGTGATTCATCACGTACGGGATTTCTAAGTGATAAATGTCTGCTGGGCTTTAACTTGTTGTGGGTGCCATGCGCAGTACGGGCAGCTTCCTTGCTTCCTCCCTCCTCCACGACCTTTGCCAAAACCGAGTCTGTATTGTCGAAGATAATAACATCCTGGTGTTATCAGGGGGAAGAAACCTCAGTGTGGGAAAGTCTAGAGTTTGCTTGGCTTAGGCAAGCCTATCCTTTGCTACCTGATTTAATCAGAACCCTGTGACAAGCGGTGTAAGGTGAGATAAGCAAGGAGGAGGGAGATGCGTAGCAAAACAGAAGTAAGCAGATGTTTACATTTTGTGTGAGAAATGACTCTCTGCTTTTTAAGAATAGGATCCACGGGGTGGGGGCACCATCTCGTTCCATTTTTGCATGGAGGAAATCCATTTGTGGGCCTGGGGATGCAGAACTGGGCTCGCTTCTGTTCTGCAGAGCGTGCCGGGGGGCTTGAAATAGGAGTTTCATGAGCAGAGTGGTTGTGATCTGGGTAAATGATCATTACCACAAGATTTCAGTCTTGCTCTTCGACTGGCCAGTCAGTGGCAGAAGTGTTCTGGACGTACCCAGCAGTCTCAGGGCATTTTTTGCATCTACCTTGCTTCTTTGAATTTGGCTCTGAATTTATGATCTCTTCTACAGGTAAAGCTTGTTAGCATCGATGCAGCAGAAATAGCAGATGGCAATTCTTCCCTGGTACTTGGACTAATATGGAATATAATCCTGTTTTTTCAGGTAATAAAACATGAATTTTTCAACCATCCGTGAACAATCTTCATGGTATCAATCGATTCCAGCTGAATACTGATTTGGAAAATTATTCTTAATCCTAAAGAATGTAATTAAGCATGCTAAAACTGAGCTTCTCCCTTTTAATATACACTAATTTTATACCTGCAGCTGCTTTCGTTTTATTTCATTGGACCTATTTCTGTGTAAATAGGAGACAATTTAAACCCTCGTTTGACTTGAACCAGAATTAGAGCTTCATATTACTACTTTCCCTTCTCTCCTGTGCCTTCCCAGGGTTCTACTCCGGATTCCCTGGATCTGAACCAATGTCTTGGCTTTGGTTCCAGGTCACAGTTGATTTTTAATAACCTTTTCTGGATTTGGTCCAGCGTGGTGGGAAGCTCCACGTAGAATCACTGACCTCCAGAGACTTACTCAACATGGCAGAAATTCACAACTGATGTAGATGGCCAAATGAAAGATCTTGAAGGGCCTGGAACTGATTTGATCCTGAAAATTGCTTGAGCCCCCGCTTTAGATTAAAACTGCTCCCTAATCTACATGTTATTTTGAAAGTGACCTTCTAGACAGTACCAAATTCTAATGAACAGAGAAAGATGGAGGGAGGGTTCTGCAGTGCTCGTAAGACTGTGAGGCTCTTTCATTCTCTTGGGTTCATTTAAAAAATGGCTAAAGGTTTAAAAAATAATCTGGAAGTGGCACGGGGGGTTCTCTCCCTGGCTGAGCTCCTCAAGCTGAACAGGGGTGCACAGCCCCAGTTTGGCCAGATGGACTTGCAGGCAGAGATGGTGCAACTGGAATCTGTCACCCCAGCAGCAGAGGGCAGGGGGGACCTACAAGCAGCAGAGTGGATGATCTGGACCCAAAAATCAGTGCTGACCAAGGACAGGAGGGCTGCTGCAGGTCACCATCTCTCGACTGAAAATATTTCACTCGAGCAAGTCCAGTGAGGAGGACAACGTCAGTTAAACTAACGTTTCTTTCAAGGACGTGTTTCTTTGCTTTTTCGCTTAACACAAATTCGCTCAGTTCAGCCTGAACTGACACTTTGCCCTCTCCGGGCTTCCCGGGGTTGCCAGCTGGGCTGCTGCTGGCTGTCACGCCTCCGCAACACAAGTGGAGAGCTATAATGGATAGGTCTCTAATTACCTCTTAAAATTCAGTCATGGCACCGTTATCTTTAAAGTTTGCATGAAAACAAGCACTGAGTTCTCCGTGCAGCTGGTGTGTTAAACCCCAACACTGCATGTTTTGCCCTTTTATTACAGATTAAGGAGCTGACAGGCAACCTCAACAGGAACTCCTCCTCCTCCAGCCTGTCCTCCGGGCCCAGCGGCCCAGAGTCAGACACATCCCACCCCAGCACTCCCAGCGTGGAGAGAAACATGGCCATCACAGTGAAGGATCAGCGGAAAGCCATCAGAGCCCTTTTAGTCTGGGTTCAGAGGAAAACCAGAAAGTAAGCTAACAAACCCTTGCATAAAACCGTGGTTTTTTCACCTGCCCTTTTGAAGCTGAGTATCTTTCCTCACTCCTGCCCCCCTGCGTGTGCGTTACGGAGCGCTGTGGCTTTCTCTGCTTTCCAAGTTTGCAGGCGCAGGGTCTCGGGGCGGGGTGTATGGCTGCAGCCCCGTGTCGACAGTGGCCGTCTGGCCTTGAAGCATTGCTGCCTTCGTGATTTGCTGTTAAAGGTTAACTTGTACTAATAACCTGCTTGGCGCGGTTTGAAACGGGATTGTTGCCTCCTCCCCCCTGGATTTCGTGCAGTCTGTTTGATACCTTTTGCTAATTAAAGAGCAGGCATAAACAAGGGGTGAACTGCAAAAATAAATATATCGACAGACTTCTGCAGCAGCCTTTTAAGTTAAGCAGCAAACCCTGAGGGAGCTTCTCTCTGTGCTGCAGAGTTCCTCGAAGGACGGAGCCGCCCCTGTTAGAGTCTCTCTTACCTCAGAATTAACGAGAAGAAGTGGGTGAATCTTAAGTTGCTTCTCATGAACGTGTAACATTTGGGTCCATTTCCGTTGCTCAGTACATCTCTCTCCTCCTTAATAAAAAAGCAGTTCTTTCAGCAAAGCATTTTGTCTAGTAATGCTTTAACCAGGGAGAGTTACTGTCAGGTTAAAAAACTTCAGCGTAAGATGTCTAGTGCACGTGTAAATGCTCGGAGTGTATTTTACATATATTATTATGTGAAGTAACGACTGCCAGAGAGTTTTAAAGAGGGCATGTGTCAAATATATTTATACAATCTGGTTAGCTGAATATTTGGCTTTTTTGTCTGTTGATGGTTTTATATGTCCAGATCTGCCTGTGGACACAAATGTTTTGTGTCCAGTGTTGAAGCTAGAAATTTTCATCTTAAGTACTTGGTCCTGTGGGCCCCGTCATGACTTGGCGATCTCCAGCGAAGCTAAGGGTGCTTGTTGTGCGGATAAACTTGTCCCACTGAGATCCACAGCTCACTGCTGCCGGTGCAGACTGTAGGAAAAGCAGAGTTTTAGTCTCAAAATAATGCTGATACTGCCATTAACAGGGAGGTGGTACAGGGGAAGTGAGGACCAAAGAAGTAAAAGCTGTAGACTTTGCAGTCCAGTCAAAGCGTACAGACTGAAAACATCTAGGAGGAGAAAACTGTTCTTGCAACTGCAGCATTAAAAACATAATAGCGTCTTTATAACCCTGTTATCCAATGACCTGTGCAGAATTTTCCATTCTGGGGCTCTATTTCATTGCAAGTTTGATGGTTGTTTTTCCCTCCAAAACTTTCGGCGTCTAACACACTCGCGGTTTATAGATACACTGACACCGTTTGCGTTTGGCAGGGCAGAGTTTTCTGGTAGGGCAGGCCAGGTACACGGGAACGTGAATCATTTCTGCTCATGTTTTTAAGTGTTGGCAGTCTTCCCAAGCTCTGGCATTAAAATGCTGGAGAGCAACAGAAACAGGAATCACGGAGACATTTGGGTTTGTGATTGTTAACTGTGGTTGCTGAGTTCTCGAGGGCTTTGTTTTTACTGACTGCTTCCTGCAGCAGGTTGATGGCAGCTGTTAGCCACACCGATCCAGTTTGCGAATCCTCGTGTTTTATGGATGTACTTTGCGTGTTTCGAAATCCAAAACGATCTCAAATGTGTCTAGTGCAACTCAGCAACCTTCCTTTTAACTTCCAGGAGCGTTTGAAAATGCTAATGCCCTTACCAAGTCAGCAATCTGGCTTCTAACTTTCATGAGTCTTTGAAAATGACGATGGCTTTTACTTTGGATTTTGTGACACAACCGCCCATCTAAAATGCATGTAATTCTGTTCAGGTACGGTGTTGCAGTTCAGGACTTTGCCAGCAGTTGGAGGAGTGGCCTTGCTTTCTTAGCTGTCATCAAAGCAATAGACTCTACTTTAGTAGACATGAAGCAAGCGCTGGAGAAATCGTCTCGAGAAAACCTGGAGGATGCTTTCAGCATAGCACAAAATAAGCTGGGTGTTCCTCGGCTCCTAGAACCAGAAGGTAAAACGCCTACATCAGCGGTGTTGGGTAACGCACAAACTGTAATGGATTTGTGAGTAGTGCACTGCGATACTCACCGAAAACCTCCCAGTGATGAGGCTGCGGGTGTCATCACTGTGTTGGGCTGATCGAGGAGAACGAGAGAAATGAATTGGTCACTGACTGAACAGTCCAGTGCTCCCAGTCATATTTGTAAGCCCCTTTGGGGGAGAGGTCTTACCATGGTTTTAGCTGTGTGCACTGGTCCTGGTTAACGTTTAGATGCTGTGTGACATCTGCACGACTGGTGGACATGGGTCACTTGTGCTGAGAGGTGTCTCGAGGCACTGGCTCCATTCTGGAGCGCCTACAGTCTGCAGAGACTGGACGTCCCTCCACGATGACGTGTGCGAGTCCGCCGTACCAGCAAGAGGAGGAGATACCTGTTCAAATGTATTTGCATCTCCCAGTTTTTCCTTCACAGGGCATATAGGCACACATCTATAGCTTTTTTATTTCTAAAAAATATATGTGTGTATATAAATATATGTATATAAACAGAGCTGCTTCTTGCAGTGTTTTTTACTGAACTCTACTAGACAGGCCTTGATTTTATGCTTGAAAGCACAGATTGGTTATTTGTGCTTTCGTGGGCCACCTGTTAGCAGACGGGGCCACCCTGCTAAAAATAAACCTCCGTGCTGTCGCTCAGCAAGATCACCGTTCAGTGACAGCAACATAAACGACAGCATGAAGGTGGATGAAAAGGGAACCCTGATCAGGATTTGGTATGCGTTTGGAAATAGGAAAAAAATTAACGCGAGTGAGATGCTGAGAACTCTTTCAAGTACCATCAACAGCGAGAAGTATTTCTCTTGTCTGTCAGCAAAAGAAAAGCGTTTGTCGCTGTTACTTCTTTCACCATCAAGGCGGGATAAATGTCTGACAGTCTGTTGCTCTGCGAGAGCATTTGAAAGGCGTGTGTGCTCAAGGCCCTTGTGTCTGTCTCCATAGATATCATGGTGGAGTCGCCCGATGAACAGTCAATTGTGACGTACGTGGCGCAATTTCTGGAACACTTCCCAGAGCTGGAAGGGGTACGTGTTTACTCCTACATCACATCATCTTTTAAATTTGCTTTGGTGTACTTAATGAAGTCAGGTATTGTTCTATTTATATTCTACGAGTCTTTCTAAACTATTTAAAAGAAATCGCAAACGCAGATTTAATTTTTCCCATTTTTGTTAAATTCAGTCAAATGGGCTTTCATTGGCAATTGCTAAAATGCTTTTGGTAGAGTTGTGCTATTAAACATTTACACCCAGCTGTAACTTGCAGAGGTTAGAACTGGTTACACAGGGCTCTACTACTTTGCTATATCAGTCTTAAGTAAGGCTGAAATGTATCCCTTCATCTATGATGATTCATTGGACTTGGAATTTCATTTTGTCTTCTGTCTTCTCAAGTCTGAGGGCCACAATCAATCGCAATTTAGCATGTATCAGACACAACACACCAGAGGCTCACTGTAAGCGTGAAATAAACTGCTGCTTAAAGGACCAGGACTTTAATGCAGACTTGATCAGAAATAAATTTGTTAGCATTAAGACTTGTGGGCTTTTTAATAGACGAAGAAAAAGCCTACCTTTTTTTTTTTTTTTTTTTTTTGGTACAGTCTGTTGGAACGGAATAATCTAGTGTGTTAATATATTTCACAGTGGATTTAGTGGACTTGTTAGGTTTATTTTATTCCCGGGGTTTGGGATTGTGTCAGAAGGCCAAGTCGGTTGTCTCCACAGGTGCAACAGGGAGAGATAAATACATTAACGACCGAGGAGTAGGCTTGTCTGCATTCTAATCTGCCTGTACAAGTGGCTTCTTGATGCTGAGCTTTGTTCAAGTCACTTGACTTGCCAGATTGGTTTCCCTCCTTTCAAAAGAAGTGAGTCAGTCACTGGCCACTCACAAGGTAACGGGTTGATGGGCTAGGTGGTTGTTCACTGTGTAGTGTCTGGGAAAAGTGAAATGGTCTCTGCGGTATGAATTGTCTTTTAATGGTGTATCATCACTTACAGGAAGATTTTACAGATCCGGACAAGGGACTTCCAATTGAGTCCACTTACGTCCACATCAAAGACACACCCTCCGAAAAGGAAGGCAAAATCTTGATTTTAAGTGAAAGTGAAGAAAGCATGTATACTGTTAATCACGAAAGGAGCCATCCTGCTCCTCCAAAGGTTCACATTGATGACATCCCCGAGAGAATCCCATCAGAGACAGCTGCTGAAGAATGTAACGGGAAATTGAGTCAAGCGTTAGGGGATTCGCAGGAAATGTCTGAGGAGGAGCCTCAGAGGCCCACCTCACTGAAAATCACAGGATCTGTCAGTTTTGAATCCAATTCCTCTTGGGAGGTTCTAAGTGATAAATCCGTGCCAGGTGAAGGGGGCATACCTGATGATCCACTGAAACAGAGTGATGACCTTTCTCCAGCTGTTCTGACAGATCAGAAAAACTCTGTTGACTCTTTTGAAGACTACTCTGAAGAATTAACTAAAGAAACCTCTACTGAATATGACAATGAAACTAAGAGCCTTTCAGCCAATACTTCTTCTTTGAGTCCATTATCCTGGACTTCAGGTATACTTACGGATGAATCTATTAATAAAGTAGAAGAGAGCAAACCCCAGACTTCGATTCTTTTACCAGAAGATACCTCGAAACAGGAAGATACGCATAAGTATGTTCTCCATCTTCTAAATGAGGAAATTCTGAAGCTTCCGCAAAATGAACATACAGAGCAATCCCCTGTCTTTGAAACAACGGAAACTAGCCACTGTCCACTGAATGGTTCTAATCTCCGAAGCCAAGAACTATCTACACAGCATGAAACATCCGATGACTCTCTCTCAGATGAACCTAAAAATCCAGAGGACCTGGACAGCTGTGATGAAGTTGAGTCTTCAGCTGAAGTGCTGCCCAGTTCTTCAAAAGTATCTGTAATACCCCACGATCTCTTCTATTATCCGCATTATAATGTTCCCATATCGGCAGTTTTGAACGCCTACCTTGAGCCTTGCATTGAAGGTTATGGTACTGGAAATGACAGTGCTGCTTCTGAAACAGGAACAGAGGTTTTGCATGAGAAGGGCTTACCAGAACAGAACTACGAGGAAGATGCTCCAGAGCCAGATTTAGAGAATAAGCTAGCTGTCCCTTCGCCAGGAGTCGATACTGAGAACGGTGAGGAGGAGACAAGAGACATTAATAATCACGGGAGCTCTTGTGATGAAAAAGAAGTACCATTGCTAGCGGAAGAGTTAGAAATTGAAAAAGGTGGCAGAAAGGCCACCAACCGTCAAGATTCCACTATTCCACAACATCCGGAGGTATTTTATTTTTTTATTACCAGAATTTCGTTGTGTATATATGAGGGATTAGCATCCGACCTCAGCAGTTTGAATTTGCTTTCATTTTGCAATGTTTGGGAGAAATACGTCAAATGTACGTGGTTTCCTGTCCCGTACCACTGTTGGCCACAGCCCTCTGCTGGAATGAACGGAATTGCAGATCGTGAGAAGATCGGGCATTAAAAGAGAGAGTAAGACCTAACACTAACAGTACTGAAAAAATGTGAATCTTAATTATGTTTTAAAGTAGTTTGAGGCTCCTCTATGATCCCTAGGCATGGAAGATTACCACAGAGAGTATTTTTAATAATTTGCAGTGAGATGAACAGGAAGTGGTATTGCTGATACAGAAAGGGTACAGGCAAAGGTAATTTTTGTCCGAATTAAAATAAATTTGCCTACAAAAACTTAACCCAATCTGAGTAGGGTAACTTAGGAGTGTAAAATGAAGGCTTGTCTACACTGGAGGAGGAGAAGGAGCCGGGGGGAATTTTTGGTAATTATTCTGTGTATTTGATTTAGACAAGCAGCTACTGCATCTCCTCGTGCCGACACTGATTTTGAACTGCCTTACACCTTTTCCACCACAGTAATTTTAGACGGTGTTTTTCAGGAATGACTGTCCATTTAACATTACTTCTACATGTTGCTTAGACAAGTTGCCTGGACATGTTTCGGTCTTGACACTTACTAGAGTAATGAAGTCAAATCGCTGTTAACTTCAAGGACTAACTGGGATCAGATTAAAAAGTCTTAGTGAATTACTTCAGAGTCATGTCATGTCACGGTTTCTTACACTGACAACTGATTGCATGTATGTTGAACTGATGGTACTTTATAGCTCAATGTATCCAAAATACTTTTCAGGAGTTTAATTGCTTTTTATTTTCTTTAGTGAGACTTTCAATCTCGTACTACGTGCAGTTTAGCATCGGAGTAGGCTGCACCACTAAGATATTTGGAAGGGTGGAGAATCAGTCTTGGTGTCTAATGCAGAATGTTTCTTCATTTCAGCAGGTCATAGTAGAACATCTGGAGGATTTATCAAAAGCCATAGAGAGACCAGAAAAAAGTAGTAAGAGGGAGGAAGAAGGGAAAACCACAATCAAAGTGGAAGACTTGCAGAACTCAGAAGTTTCCACTACCACTCTGTCACGAGATAAACTGGAAGAAATTGCTGACTGTCAGGAGTTTGCCAGGTATTTCACATTAACTTTATCTTACATACACCTAACTGGTAGGAACGCTTGGTCTTCTCAAGTGTGCCCTGTCCTTTGGATGTCTCTTACAGACTTCTTTCAGGAGCAGTATATTGGGACGCATTGGCTTCTTCCTGTGTCTCTCTTAAGCATGGCAGGTGATTCAGTGCCACTGGGACTTGATTTGACTTTGCTACACAAACTTTGCCACACAAAACCCAGCTGCAACCCCGGTGCATTTTGGACACGGCAGTGTTGTAACTGTTTTTCCAACAGAGACAGTGTTTTGTAATGTAGATGAAATAATGCATCCGCGTCGTGACACTATGTGGAAGCGTGACACTGCTTCGTTCCATAGATATTCGTTGGCCTTTTTTTTATGTCTATGAACAAGTGAACAGGATTGTGGTAGGTTGACCTCAGCCAGACCACCAGGTGCCCACCAAGCCACTCTCACTTAGCAGGATAGGGGGAGAAAATAAGATGAAAAACTCAAGGGTTGAGGTAAAGGCAGTTTAAGGAAAAAAAAAGCCAAAGCCATGTGTGGAAGCGAAGCAAAAGGAGGCACACACACCAAAAAAAAAAAAAAAAAAAAGGAAAAAAACCCAGATTTGTTCTCTACTTCCCATCGGCAGACAACATCCAGCCACTTCCTGGGAAGCAGGGGCTGGGCAGGCATTGTGGTCGCTGCAGAAGACAAATGCCTTAACATCGAGTGTGTGTGTGTCACTGCCAGCTTCCTCCTTTCGCTCGGTTTTTATTGCTGAGCACATCGTATGGTATGGAATATCCCTCCGGTCACTTTGGGACAGCTGCCCTGTCTGCATCCCCTCCCAGCCTCTTGCCCAGTCCATGTTCTCCTACATGCAACAACGCATATTTGTGGGTTTGCCCAGCTAAAAACCAGTATGTGCAATTGCAGTGGCTCTCTTGGAAGTCAAAACAAAGCTTGGCTTTATGAATTTAAAACTTTGCTCTTACATACATTTCAGAACCAGTGACAGTGATTCCAATATTTATCTCCGAAAAAGATCTCCTAATACTTCAGAGCAGGTAAGTTTGTAGAAATGTATCTATCGCCGTTTCTCTACTTCTCTTAAACTCCAAAAGTTCACATACTGTAAAAGGGTCTACTATATATATAGATACAGATATACACACACATATACAATATATATATACAAAAGCCCTGTGACTACTAAGAATTTTAGTGCCAAAACCAGGCACAGCTGAAAAGCTTTACTGAACTCTCCTAAACAGACGGAACTGAACCTTACTGAACCTCGAGCCAACCCACAAAGGAGTACCTAATACTACAATTAGTTCTACTGTAACTTTGAGGCTTACTTTGTCGTAACTGTACAGCCGCAACTTTTCACTCCTTTTAAGCTGCCTTTATTTGTTGCTCCGGTTTCTTTTAGTCTGTGCATTCTCTGTATGTATGTTGGTGTCCTGGCCACAGCCCTGCAAAAACGCGGCGTGCCTCCTGAAGTGCACTTTTTATGAAAGGTTGGGCTCTTCCCTTCATCGCAGCGGTGTAGTACGTCATCTCCATCGCAGCAGCTAACCCTCCAAGAATTTCAGTCGTAAGGTGACACTGCATCCTTAATGCCAGACGTAATTAGTCCTGGTTTCTTGAGAGCACATTACACAATCTCTGGATTTTTATTTTTTGAGTCAGAAGGAAGGGACAGCATCAGCCGTCTAGGCAGACTGAGCAAGGAGAGGAACAGGGTGATTTTCAGCACAAAATAAGATTCTGGCCGTTTTGGAGTTTTAAAGAAATGCTGCCGCCGATGTTCAGTGAAATGGAGGTTTCACACAGGTGCTTTAGTTTTGCAAGGCTGTCAGAGCTCCTAGAAATATATATGAATGCGGGGAGCTTCGTTCAACTGAATGAAAGCAGTTGAAAGCAAAAAAATCTTATTTCATAATGTTTTTCCTTTTCTGTGTGTGTACCAGACTGCAACGCTGGATGCGCTGGCGGGGAATAAATTTATAAGCACACTTACATTTTATCTGAGCGAACGTTAGACATACTCTGTATAAAATACACACGCAATTACCATCTTTGCAACACGCTGAATTTTATTTTTCTTATATAATCTATTCCTGGTTTGTTTAAGGAAACCTATGGTGTAAATGAGGCGATGATGACAGATACGGGTGAAAATCCATTGATCATCAGGTGAGTCATTCTTATTCAGACAAAACCTTTTGCAAAGAATCCATAACTCCTAGGTGCTTCTAGCAATATTGCAGAGGGAAATGAAAATTAACTATAATGGTAGAGCCTGACTACTGTCTTGTGTAACAGCTTGGAGTCCGTATTTCCCATAGGTGTAAGATACAAAACTTCTTTATTGCTCAATCTCCCACTTGACTAAAATGCTTTTTCTTGACTTGAGGAAAGATTCAGCTGTCTAAGCAAGACTGTGAGCACCTTCCGCACATGGTGAATATTTCAGACTGAGGAAAGAGTGGGAGGACTTCAAATATGAGGCCCTCTGGCAGTGATGACTCTTTCCAGGTTTGGAAGACTGTCAAGACGGTGTTTAATGTGGCCAGTGCTAGGGAAAGATGATACCTCAGTGGAGTTCTGGCCTCTGTTAGAGCACCCGTGAGTTTTTATAATTTATATGTGTGCTTAGTTTAGACTTAGGGTGATGGATGCTGAACGCAGAGCATGTATCCCTTTGGTATTAGGGTCTACATATCTGTAAGAAACAACTCATTAAAGCAGGCCAAAAACCAGTTTTCTCCAAAAGTAGGTTAAAAAAAAAAAAAAAGTCTACCAGAGGGTGATTCATATAGCACTATCAAATAATAAAACGAGTGTACCGTCTTGTGCCTTTTTAAGTAAGGCCTTTCCTTGCCTTTGTGAGAGCTCGGTGGTGCTGGCAGCGTCCATCAGGCTTTGCCCTTATGAACCACAGCTGAAATTTTGGAAAGTTGGAATTTTGGAGCTGTCCGACAAAACCCCAACTGCCAGTTGGCTTCTGGAAGTCTTGGGATTTTTTTGGTTTAATGTTCTGGTGTCTGCCCCGAGAAGCTCTGAAAGTAGATGATTTGGGGAAGCATATCAAGTCAGATACATTGAGAAAGTAAAATTGTGAAAGCGTGGTATGAGTTGCCCGGAGCTAGGTTTACTGTTCTGAAAATAAAAGGGCGTCTTTTAGACTGATGGAGATCACCTTCCATCAGAGGAGTGTGCTCTAACAGCATGTATTTAAGCTACCTGTGAGGTTGCCCAGAGTTTTCAGAGGATTAATTGCTACGTCCATTTGCTGCTAAGGGAGCACACTGCGACAGCCCACTATGCACCTCCTCGTCTAGCCTGGATTCCAACTGACTGGATTCCAACGGTTCATTAAACTGCTGTCTTTTAGTCCACCCTCTGATCTCTGAAGTAAGTATTAACAGCGAGAGGTTTTTCTTCTTTTTCCTGCCTCTTATAAAGTTCTCTCCTCTTTTCAGGAAGAAAAAGGACTTGGAAGCAAGTGATGCTCCAGCACCAACTCATGAGGTTACAATTGCTGAGCAGCCAGAGCTTCTCTACTTCATCATTTTCTTCTGGGTGCTGGTCTACTGCCTTCTACTCCTTCCACAGCTTCTTAGAAACAAAGTTTGATTTCTGTGAGACGTGGAAAAACACCAGATGGTGGCTGGATTGCTTTGTGTATCTGCATATGAATGTGTTCCTTTCAGGTGAAGCACAAACAGAAATGTAGGACCTGATGTTTGTGTTTATTATCAGGTTGTCCTCAATTTCTCTACTGTTGTGCTATGACAACGTCTAAGCACATTTTATATTATGACAGTTGTATAAATATATATAAAAAAATGACCTGATTTAGTAGACGCCATTTTGTACATTTGTGCCTTGCTTTATAAGATGCTAAATAAAAACAGGTAATTATCAGTAGAAGTATGAACAATTCAGAGCTCCAGTCTTCAAAAATTATTCTTCTGGCTTCATTTACTTATGCAGGACCTGACAGCTGTGGAAGAGGGGTGGTGTTGGCTTGCCCATCAATCTGGCCCACCTGCAAGGGGCAAGACTGGAAATGCTTTTTCACGTTTTCCAGGGAATTCTTTGAGAGAGCTGAAGGTGGTGGAACATGCTGACCCCGGGAATTGATTACAATTCCAATGGCAATCCAGTTGAGCAACAAAATCAGATTGAGAGTTTATGGGCTAGGGGAGTTCGGATTTTTTAGGATTTAAAGTAATTTTTATCCTGCGCCTTTTGCTACGCTTAATTTGCAGGAATAAATTGGGCGTGGAGAAGTGTGAAGAACATACAGGCTAGCTGCTTCTTAGGAAGGGTCATGCAGGAAGGCTTAGCCCAGAAACTTCTGTAGAGAATACCTGCAGAAATACACTTTTTGTACATTACTGGTGGTGGCCGTCTTTGAAAAGATGTTCAAGAAGCTTAACAATTTTATCAGGGACAGATACCATGGTTCTGGATTTGCTTTTTTTTTTTTTTTTTAGAAAAGTACCTCGCTGCTTCTGAGGCTGCTTCTGCTTCCTTTTCTCTGCAGCTTTTCCTTTCCGGATCGTGTGAAGATTTCTCTTTTTTTGAAGATACAAAAAATAATAGGTAACCTAATTTCCTGAGGCTACTGTTAAGGTTTAAGTGCATGGTAAAAGGATTAGAAATATCCTTTAAGTGCCCAAATCAATAAAGAAATTACAGGTGTAAAACTAAACACAGAGAAATGTTGACAGCCCGTATTGACTTTCTAGTGAAACTGAAGAGACTCTTGAGTCTTGTCCATAGACACAGTTGAGCCATTTCTGCCTCTTGTAATTTTTGTCCACATCAGTGATCATTACAGGATATTTGATTTAGGATTTTTGCCAGGGGTTTACATTGCATTACCATGCATTACAGGACAAAAGGGAAGTCTTCAAACTCAGTTTAACAGCAGTTACTTTTCTCTGTGCGACTTTTAGTGAAGTCACTGTTTTTCATTGGCACGTTTTTACTTTTGTAGTATGCTCGATGAAACTACCTCGTGTTGCTGCTACCACCTGAAAATTCGTAAGGTTGACTTCAGTGTGCTTCATAAAATGAGGCATTTAATTTTCATAAATGAAAATTAAAATAATAATTTACATGGAGTGGAAGTGACAACACGTGGCTGTAAGTTTTACATACTTGGTTTTAGCGTAAGGTGTATTTCTCTGCCCTGGCTTAGTTTTCAGCTGAACTAATAGTACCTGGGATCGGGATACACCAGAATATATAGCAATTTATGTGCAGGCATTTAAAATGTGTTTATAGTCATGTTATCAGCTGGGGTAATCCTAATCGTCCATCACACTTCATTCTTCTTTATAAGCTTTTTGTTTCCCTGGAATTTGCCTTCCAAGTTGCAGTTAGAATTCAGTAATAGCAGTGCATGGCAGGAGGTCCTAAACATTGAAGAGAGAATTCTGAACCTCTTTTAGTCAACAGAAAGCTGAAATCTTTCCTATTCTGGCCTGTCACTGTTCACTAGAGCTGGATTCACCCCATGAAAGTAAAAATAAGATCCTTTGTGCTTGGTGAGGAACAGATCCAAACTTCCCAATTTAATTCAGTATAAATCAACATAAGGGAAAAAAAAATAGCGTTTCATCTTGTTGATGCAAATGTTCAGCATTTGGAGTCATCTGATTTTGTGATGCACAAACCTCTTTGTGCTTGTTGATGCAGACAGTGATACTTTCTTCCAAAAGAAAAATTGTCTTAGAATTTTTGAAGATGCTTTCTTGAAGTAGGCTAAAATATCACATTGAAGGGCTAGGGCTTTTTCTCTGAAAGAGTAAGTTAATACGAGAACCTTTATAGGCTTATCCTGACAACCAGTAAATACCAGACTGGGGTATGCTGGCTATTTCATAGCAGCAAGTAGCACTGTACCTTAGTTTCAAGCAAAAGTGCCGACAGCTCTTTGTTACGTGCCACTTTTCGTAGGCTCCTTTGGTTTATGACAACGTTTTCTGAGGCTTTGTATCTTACTCTCTGGTTCTTCCATGTTTCTTCAGCGGAGATTATCTGGGGTTGGATTACAGTCTGTTCAGAGAACTCTTCTGCTATCAAAGTTCAGTCTAGTAAAGTAATCACCCTTCTGTCTCCTCTCCTTCCTCCCAATAAAATTAATCAGAACGAGGCGGTCTTTGGATGTCTCAGCAGCTAACACTTATAAAGGATGGGGAAGTTGCACTGATGCTGGCAGCTTCGTTACAGAGTGTTTTCTTCCAAAAGGGAGAAACCCCAGGGTTTTCTTTCCTGCCTCCCACTGATGAACGGTGACTGAAACAGTGAAATGAGCAGTGCAGATGTCAAACAGCATCCAGCACTTGTCTTGATCATCTCATCCAATGTTTAAAATGACGTACGCTTTCCAGCCTCTCCTATTAAGAGATGGAGGTTGTTTCTTCCATGCAAAATAGTTGAAAAAAATACCGAATTAGTCCATGATATTTACGTTGCTTTCCATATTCGGGTTTGTTTGGCTGTGTTTTTCTAGAAAAGAAGAAGTCTACCTTCCTCAGCCATTCTACGGGTAAGATCCAGGGTAAAGAGTTAAGAGTGATTATACTGGGATGGTCAGCTGTGCGTGGAGAGACTGAGCTCTTCAGGAGTTTTGCCATTACTTGGAGCCACAAAAAATGGCATCTGCATAAGCAGCAGCTTCCCCCACTTAAATTGACTTCTAAGCCTGCATCTCTTCTTCCACAGTGCCAGATCGAACCCCTCAATGCAAGTGCCCTATTCTGAAAACACTGCTTGCTGTTATTTATGTCCTATTCTGAGCTTACAGTCTAAAAGCCTGATTGTGAAGCAGTCGCTATGGCAAAGCCTGTTTTAACTTGTTTGGCTAGAGGACTGGCTTGAGGTAGAGATTTTAAAGGCTGGTGGGCAACCTGTCATCCATCCATTTTCCAACAGAGAGGTACATAAGGAAGTTTTTCCTGAATTTTTGCCTGGCTTTTTGAAAAATGCTAAGCTCGAACTGACTGCATTTGGTATTTTGATTTAGCAGCAGAATTCAGATACACAAGGGTACCAATCTCATAAAATCGGTTCTAAAACCTGTTGTTGCTGAGCAAATGTGTGGGTAGCAGAGTAGTGTGGAGTGGAAGTGTCAGGAAGTGCTTGAGGATCACTGGATAAAGGATGTTTGGTGTTCACAGAAGCACCATTAAAGACTGAGAGACAACTGTAATAGGATGGTTCAATGTCACTGTAGTCATGTAACTTCACTGTAAAGTGTTTCACTGTGATTTTATAGAAAGGGCAAGGAAAGATACACTATTCAGACAGAACCACGGTAAACATTTATGGGGCAGATGTCTTAGAGTTGAAGAAATGAGATAAACAGTCACATAATCTGCAAATTGAATTGAATATAGCCTTTGCCAAACTGTAGGAAATAAATGATCAGTGCAAAGATAGGGCAAGCACAGATTACAGTACAAAAAAAAAAAAAAAAAAGACAATCACTTTTCAATGCCATGAATATTTTTGATGGATTGAGCTCTAAAATGTATTTTTATTGAGTTTCTAGATTGTAATGAATGTGTCTACAGAATTTTATGCAAAGCTTGAGAGTTCAGCTGTTTTAAAATGATTTTTTATATAGCAGTGATTATTTTATCTATATATTTAATAGAACTGTAAAACCATTTTAAAAGTACCTGTAAAATTCTATGTATGTGATATGATTATTTATTAATTATGACTCATGAGAATGAACATTAAGCTATGCATCAGTTGTGCCATCCATTTGAATACTGGAAACTGCAAACAGGATGATAGTTTTTAATGAACAGATGACTTGAAAAACATGGGAAATGATTGAATACAATTGTGTGGTTCTTAAAGCTGCATAGCAGGGTGTCATTTTGCGATGTTAAACTTTCAGCTAAAGTTGCAAAATATACTATACTGAGTGATTAAGCTACTTTCTTCCATTAAAACTTGCTGAGGCTGAAATTTCTACATGTTGATATTTGGTGTCTAAACACACTCAAATCCTCTACATTTTCTGGAGACTGTCGATTTACCTCAGTCAATTTAGCTCGGTATGACTGTAACTTCTTTACCCAAGTAGGGCTCCACTGAGTTTATGGGGGAACCATGCAATACCCAGTGGGTATTTCAGGGTTTTTTGCACCGATCCCCACAGAATCAGAGCTTCAGAAGATGAATTTGGCCAGTGTATGCGGTATCATAGTCAGCCATCTAACCAGATAATAGTTATAGTAGTGCATTATCACTTACACTAGCTTTAAGTACTCGGAGTCCCTTCTTGCCAAGCACAAACCCGAATGCATCCGGTGATGTGTCAGTTCCTCTACTTCTGTGGAAGTCAATGCAACACATCTGTGTGCTAAGCACACGCTACAGGATCTGGCCCCGAGGGGACTTAAATCAAGGTTAATCACATAAGCAAGGAAGCAGCTGAAGCCCTTAGCACTGGATCCCCCTCCAAGCCAACGTACACAAACAACGCCAGTGACTTCAGTGAACCCCACAGTACACACAACATCCGTCTGCCTAAATTCTGCAGGATCAATCCTCTCTTTCTTTTAGGAAGTGAACATCCACTTCCATTGCTGATTAAGGGGACGGCAGCAGGGACGAACGGCTGAAAGATGAGGGCGAGGTTACAGGCTGGAATGTGGCTGTGGAAGTTCCCAAACCACCACAGCGGCGAGCTCTTGCCCTGGCAACAGGTCGCCTGCTGTCTTCCACTGAGCTAACAAGCAGGGGATCTGAATGGAGGTAAAAAGCCCCCAAGGATTTGTATTTCCACATTGTCCAGTTTTTTGTCAGGTAAATAACATCCAATTCTTCCCCTTGGCATACCCCTGATAACACTAATTTACAGCTGCCCAATTTATGATTGTTCATGCGCCAGGTTTGCATGCAAACAGGACTTGCTGTATGCCTTGTCCCCACCCTCGCTGCCCCAAGATCACGGAGCTGTTCACGCAGGAGGATGGGAGGTAAATGCACACTCAGTGACACGGAAGAGTCATATTACGAACGGGATTGCTTGCTTACTCCTTGACACAACTCTAGAGCTCGCAAAGAGTGAAAAATTAACTTTCCTTTTCAAGTGCCGTGTCCGTTATCAGGGTTGTTTTAGCTGAAATTGTGGAACATCAAATTCTTTCTTTCTCCCTCTGAATGTGAGATGTGGAAAGCTGCCTTCCACCTCAGTGGCACTTTGGATGACGCTGCCTTTCCAGGCAGCTGCTACTGCTGATATTGGAAAACAAGACCCGTGTTATTTTCTCACCATGAGGCCAATGTCTAAGTTTATGTCACTGGAACATAAAATTGGTCCAAAAGGTTAGAAGGGGCAATAAAAACAATTCATTTTACCTCAGTGAGAAATACTAAAACCTACCATTCCAAGAAAGGCTAGATCCTGGCCTTCACAGCTGTGTTCAGGTCAGGTAATATTTTATTCCCAAAGAAGTTTCACTGGGCCTTCCTGGAATCTCTTTCATTCATGGAACAGATTTGCTCTGTGTCCAAGGACCAATTCGTACAGGGGGGTCCTGAGCCATGGCCGTTATCAGACTGTAACAGAAAATTACCGTTTTTTTAGTTAGAAATGACTGGTCTGATTTAAGTAACATAGCTTTCAAATTATACGCTGCTCGCTTTTTGAGAAAAATAATGCAGTCATTTTTAAATGCCAAGTAACTTACACAAGTCAAGTAAGTCTATTGTAGTAAGAAAATCCAACTTCTGCTTTTGTCTTGAACAAAACCTATTTTAGTAGGCATACCACTTCGTGCTATTGTATTTTACTGAGTAAAAAGCTGAAGAAAGCGTTCTCTCCTTGTTAAAGTTCTCTGGTTTAAATTGTAATCAAGTGCTAGTTTGCTAAAGAGTTACTGATTTCTCCTGAAGAAATCATCTGTAAGTAAGGAATGTAGTATTTAAAATACATGTTTCTCTTTGGCAAGTGGTGAGCACTGATAGCTACTGAAATGAGAACAAATGCTGGGAGGATTTGAGTGGTATCCAAAGATACACTGAGGGAGGTGCATTTTTGTGTACTTTCAAATACATTTCTTCTGAATGCTTTCAATCAGTGGTATGTATTGAATGTTTGCACTTGTTGCTCAAAGCTAATTTTTGTGAAAAAGAAATATATTCTTCTGTATAGTTGGTACACTAGAAAATGTTTTTAGAAACTGCTACACTGTAATAAGGGTAGTATTTACTAGTGAATAGTTCCACTTTATTTTATAAAATCTCCAATTTTGAAATAAATGGACAGGCTTCCTGTATGTAATGTTATCTGTGGGTTTGTCCTTGTCCTTCCAAGAAAATATCTTCAATCATTTCAGGAGAGATCACAATTTTGTTCTTACTTATTTATTTATTCATTAATATTGTATCTATTATATATATTATTTTTATTTATTCATTTTCATGCCCAGAGATGATACTCACTTTTTAGCAGAGAAGATCTCAGTAAACACAGCAAATTCATGAAGTACACTGTTTTCTCACCTACCCAAAAAGTGACTGAATTTTGGAGAAAGAATCTCAACTTTACTCCAGTCAACAAACAGAATGACTTTAAAATTTTCATAAAGGTGAAGATTTATTCATTTATTAATGCATAGAAATTGACATTATAAAGGCAAGCCATGGGAAAGCTTACAAAAACAGTTGTGCTGAATTACATACTGTTCTTAGAAATTAATTCTGGCCTGTTTCTGTGTCAATGTTTGGACTTGCGGGTTAGTGAATCAGTAGGTGCAGTACTGGTTTGTATTTACTATGTTCCTTCCCTCTACACCTTAATTCCCTTTGCAGTATATGAGAAAATAAAGTGCAACAGAGACACAGTACAGTTCAGAATCATCCCCATGATCTGTTTCCTGAAAAAGATACCTGAACTGGATAAACACTGAGAAAGAAAACAGTCTGTGGGGAATGGAGGAGGCGTGCTGCTTCTCCACTTAAAGTTTGATGGGTATCATGCTTTAGGGATTGTCAATGTTCCTCTGTTCCTTCTACAAAATCACTTCATCTCACATGCTTTCAGTGTGTTTCGCACCACCCCAGGAGTAGCTGGTACCATCCCCCCTCCCCAACCCTTGAATATTCTTAATGCTGTTGAGAATTTGGGATATTTGGGTCCAGTCCTGTCAGCAGTGCTGAGTTACAGAATCACAGAGTGCTTTGGGTTGGGAGGGACCTTTGAAGGTCGTCAGTCCAACCCCCCTGCAATGAGCAGGGACAGCTTCACCTAGCCCAGGTTGCTCAGAGCCCCGACCAGCCTGGCCTTGAAAGTTCCCAGGGATGGGGCATCTGCCGCCTCTTCGTTACCGTAACTTTAAAATCTCTACATAGTTTGAGACCAGTAACTTTTATTGGTGTCATGAATGATACTTAAGTGGAGAATTAAAAGTTTGTGGTTTTTTGTTTTTTTTTTTTAATTGGGTTAATTTTTTGCAACGGAGACTGCCATTAGGAATTTGCAAGTGGACTGCAGGGGGGGGCGAGGAGGGAGGTTCAAATATGCAAGATGGGTCAGCTCAGGACGTGGGAGTAAATTTTTACAAGAGCATGGGATCCGAACTTTAGTTCAGATTCAACAGTAAGACCAGGAATTGCTGTTTTCTTTTCACTGCTCTGGGATGAAAGTAATTCTGATAGAAACTTCAAAAATAATCCCCCTTACCCTCGCTGTGTAAACACAATTTTTGTAGCTTAAAGAAGATGCAAATGGAGCAGAGGAAACATACCCACCTGGATGGTGGCTGCGATGAAGCCAAGCACAGGGTTTGTTTCAGGTAAGGAACCATACACAAGCACACCCACAGAGCACGCACGCTTTGGTTGTGCAGGAGCCCAGAACTCCCAAGGGTAACCAGTGGCCATCGTGTATATATTCTGCTTGGCCATGGGTACTGAACCCTTCCGTCTCTCTTCGGTGCTTCTTTTACCTGATTGGTAAAAAAAAAAAAAAAAAAAAAACAGCAGGGGCAGGAGCACCTTCAAATTGCTGGGTGGATATAACAAAGCCTTAGACTCGATCTGATTTTGATTAAGACACCAATATACAGCAACCGTCTTTTCTCGAGTTGCTCTTTCTATTGATGGTACAAGGACTATTTCCCAGAGAGTTAATTGCAGCAATTTATGAAATGCCTTCTAATGACTAACTCCATTCCTTGGCTAGACGCTACCACCGGCAGTTCTCTGTCCTTGCCAAACTGTACACTCTGCCTTGAAATATCAGTTAACATATGATCAAAGCAAAATGTATAGCTCCATCTGCTGTAAATACTTTGAATTGATTATTTTTGCATTACTTTCTTATGGCTGAACTCTACCCTTGGGAACTGATTTATCACTTTGATGATACGGATTTTCTGCATGTTGGCAAGAAGCAGCAGCAAAGTCCATTTATACATTGCAAAGCGGTGTTTCTCGGTTCTCAGGCAAAAAGAAGCATAAATAAGTGTGTATTTCAAGGACATGAGGAACTTTTGTTAATTATTAGATGACAGAACTTTTGTACAGTGTCATTGCTGCTGCTTGTGAAATGCAGAAATTACATGACCTGCTGAAGTCAGTGATGGATGGCAAGAGATTCCCAGTTACACTTCTGCTAAGTGATGGCTTTCCACAATCAACAACAGCGTTTTGGGTTTTTTTAGGCAGTAGTCATCAATGCCGAGTTCCTGCATAGGAAGAGTGAGTGAGTTGCTAACCTATTTTTTAAATTGATTTTAAAAGGTAGAGCAGCAGTTCAAAGAGGTCAAAAAAACACTAAAGCAGTTAAAAATACTGAAGTTTTAACAGTAGGGAAAACATCCTTATTTGGAGTTACAAAGTCTGGGTCAGCGAAGCGTGAAAGCACACCAAAAAAAAAAAAAAATAGTATATTAAGGGGAACAAAAAGGCTGTGCCACCTAACACCTTTTCAAAATCACAGCTCCAGTTTTAGGAAT